CACAGGGTAACTGAGAGAGATTAACATGTCTAGCAGAGGAAGAAATGGTAGTACTGACAGGGGTAACCCTAGAAAGTCTTAAGGAAAAGCTGGCAAGACKTAGGACCAAAAGGATACAATAAACAGGCCAGCTAGAACCAAAGACCACACCAGTGTGGAAAGGCTAAGAATAATCACAGAAACAAGAACTGCCACATTTTCCATCTGCCTTAGGGCTCTGCTGCTGTACTGAGTTATCTTCAGCCATGCTGAGCGAGGCAATTTRCTGACTTAAGACATGGAGGGTCACTGAGCTGGGGTTTTTGGATAAGGGGCAATTTACCAGAGTTGAGACTTTCCACTCTTGGTTGAATATCACCAGCTATCCTTAAGATATATCTGCATCACCAGAAAGCTGTGCTGGGTGCTGCCAGCCTCACACAGGGATCAGGATATCATACTGACACCTCTGAAACCCTCCTCTGAGTTTTTCACTGGAATAACGCACAAAGTAACATGATATAACATGAGGGATATAATTATAAATGGAAATAACTTTTTTTTTGTGATTGCTCTAGAAATGTTTAGCTGAAAGGAAGATCAGTAGCAGAGGCTGAACCAGCAGTGCCCATAAATGAATTCCTGTGCTTAGGGACCTGTCTTATGTCAGGATGCTGCTCTGCCAGGTGATGAGCAATTCCATCAACAAAAGATGGTCTATCCAAATAAACAGAATAATCGGGCTTGTTTGCTGACACAGCAAACTGACCAGTTCAAGGCATTAAATTGAAAATGATTAGTCCTGAATCTGACAAAATCAATCTGTGTGTCAGTGAGAGACTGGGACATATACCCAGGCCCTGGCCAGAGGGAAAAGTTAGTCTTGTCAAACCTCGAAAGTCCAGGGAAGCAGGATACGTTTGGAATGTAGTGGCTTCAAACCAGCCCTTAATTTGGATGGGAAATGAACCTCCTGATCCTTACGGGGGCTGCCAGGGATGCTGGCATTGCAGCAATGCACAGCATTCTGCTTTCTCTCAACACATAAGCCCTCTGCTGGGCTGAGATAGGGAACATATGACTTTYGGTGTGTCTCTTCTTGCCTGGCTCACACACTCAGTCCTTCTGGCCCTTGCCAGCTGTCAGCCAGCTGTGCACAGCTTTTGCTGGCAGAGCAATAGGGAGACAGCAGCTTGGGATTGGGACCACATCTKGCCATTCCCACTCCCACAAGTGGCCAGTGACTGACAGATGGAGGTCTACAGTCATCCAGGGGTACAGGTGCTCTAATGTACCCCTGRTCATGCAGTGATGGCTAAACCCCAAAACAGTGGGCAACTTTACCTGGCCACCGTTTGCAAAGAACAACGCACAACAAAGAAAGCCCTTTCCAGATAYTGAGTGTAACATGCTACCTTTTGGTTTTATCTCTTCTACCCAAAATTCTAAACATAAAAGGCTCAAACTCTGACTTACTTCGTTGTCTTCACCATCAGAAAAAACACCAAAGTTAAACATACACACCAGCTACCAAGGAAAGCAAAGACAAACAAGAATGCAAAGAGCTCTGTGCCTTCTAGTAGGAGGTGATGAGGCAGCTGCCAGTGTGGGATGCAAAGCAATAAACTCCAGATAATGCCTCATACCATCTGACTAACCAGGAGCTAATCCTGACAATTCCACTGCCTTTCTGTGTATCTGCAAGCATTCACATTTTTCTCCATCTGCAAAAACGAAGGTAACAATAACTTAAATTTGCTTCATGTGAGGATGCATGTAACACTGAAAAAGCCTGTGAAGATGTAAAGATGTCGGTAAATCTACATGTATTTTTTACATGTAGATGAAAGATGACACATCTTTCTCTGCTAAAATTTATACACTACCAGCCAGTAATACACAGGTGCTAACGTACATGTGCATAGTGAAGGTGGCATGTAAGCTTGTGATTTGCCCTTTCCAGGTAGATTTTTGAACAACTTCCAGGCACTATCTACAAAATCTTCAGGCAAAAAGAAGCATCCACTGACATTAAAGTATCCAGATTAGAGGCCTTAATGAGAAGAGATTGAGAACTATGTCACCACCTTTCCATTATTCAATGCCTGAATGAACTTGGCAGAGTGGAAGAGCTGGGGAAAATAATTTCCTCAGCAATAGTTCAACATTATTTTTCATTTTGTGTCATTATTTCTCACTGAAGTAATCAAGCTTTCTCTATTTAGTGCATTTAACTTCCTCTCTTAAAAAAAAACCAAAAAACAAAACTGTTCAAGGAAGAAATGGAAAGACCTTTTCCTCAGAAACCTATGGCATTTGGTTCCTTCTGTGAAGAACAAGAACTACGAAACAGGATGGTGTTTGTAAAATGCCTGGGGCAAGCTCTTGTGCTTCCAACAAATACAGAAATTCACTGAAGCAAGCTATTTTCCTAACAGCATATGAAAACTACTTCACTGCTTCGTCTTCAAAGTTAGCATTCACTACAGAAAGCTCTGTATTTTAGACCAAGAATTCCCTACAGCCTCCAAAAATGTTTCAGAACACACTGATCACCAGGTTTTCCAGACACAAGGGTGTTACTAACAGGAGCTATAGGATTTTCCCTGTGTGTTAGCAAAACATAAGTCAGGCACCCAGAGCTCTGGACGGTAGACTCTTCCAGCTGGGTGCCAGACAATCCTTCCCCTCTTTTTCCACTTTCCCCTTCAGAGGTGTCTACACATACAGACCATCCAGCAGAACAGCCACCTTCTCTTTATTTTTCCCTTAGGATTTGGATGTCTTTTTGGTAACAGTGTATTTTCCAAAACACAGGAATCACCTTCAGTTTCAGTAGGACTGGCTGTCCTTCAAGAAGTCTTGCTACCTGAGCTAGTTTTCAGGAGGAATTGTCAACRCTATAAATTTGACCAAGAGAAATCATTCCGTTGCTTTCGCAGGCATTCTCCTGATTTTGAATGAATTAGTGACCATAATGCTTAAGAGAATGCAYTGAGATAGCCACTGCCTGCTCACATCTGTGACTGCACACTGCACTCTCCCAGSCTCAGCCCCTCCTTCAGCCCTCATGCTGTCCCTGCAACACTGCAGATTCTCTAAGCGTAGCCATAAAGAGCTGTGCATTCTCAAGACATTGTTGTCTGCATTTCCTTCCATCATTTCAGTTCTCCATAAACTGGTTGATAATTGATACTTTCCTCGTCTCTCAGATAGGAAAAGCTTGGCCTCTTCATGAGTCTCTCCGAGGCTTGGGCTGGAGCACTAACTCCTCTGCTATGCAGCACAATAGTAAGCGATCTCTAACCTTTCTGTTACAAAGGTGATTTAATAAGACTAGAGCTATCCAAAGGGTGTACCTCAGACTGGATTCCTTATCCAGTCTACCCAGGGCTACCCAGGGCTACCCAGCTGTGTCCACAGGACAGGCAAATTACAGCGGGCTTGTCCTGTGCTGAAACCACATCAAGGCAAAAGCACCATTTATTAACTGATTGAGCAGATCAAAGCGATTAGGCCAAGTGACATCAGAGGTTGCAATTTCTTTCCATTACTGAGTTTCATGAAGTATTTTGTGTTCTGATATAAAGTCTAATACAATATCAGGTACTACTGGTCAGTTTCATAATAGTGCGTCTAGGAGCTCAGCAGAATAAAAATACTATGGAAAAAACTGAGACTAAAAGCACGTAYGGTAGGAAACCACGTTATTTTACAGGCCAAGCTTCTTGTGTTAAACCAGAGTATTTCCCAGAGGCTATAGTGGTGGGGAAATGGTGAGTGACTTTGGAAAACAAGGATGTAAAAACTTGTCTAGGGGGAGAAAAAGGAGACTAAGGGAGAAGAGCTAAGAAAGAAGCTGTGGTTCAGCTCTTTCAGTGCTTCAGTATATCTTTGACCCTTTTTCCTCATGGACTGTCTTCTGTCACTCAGAAAATCTGACCTCAGTGTGTGTTAGCCCAGTCTGTGAGCTGCTCGCACTCCACCAGTCAGCTCTAAAAAAGACCCCATGCCAACCACCTGTGGTGAGCAGAAAGGMCAATTACTACTGCAGCAAATGATATAAAATTACTTGAGTTGTTTGTGTTAAGGTACACAGGTCAGCACTGTATTACAAGCCTTCAGTTTTCATGTGATCAGCTTAGTGGTTACTGCCAGAAGCAAGACATCCAGACACTTCCTGGCTCACACATATTCTAACTAGTAATGATCCGAATTGGAACATGTGATTCCAAGAGGAGAAAGTTTTTTTGCTGAAATTACTGTACAGGGATAGATTAATGTGTCTAATACTGATTAGAAGTGGAAAAGAAAGAATGGCAAGACAAACTGATGTATCTGACAGTAATTGCTCGAGTCTGTCATTTCTAAGATAGCTGCTTCCATATACATAATTTGTATATTTGACAGCTAATCCTATCTACATAAATCAGCAAATCCCTCACAATTCTAAGGAATAATTTGAGACATTGTAACTTAAAARTATCACAGCAGCTGTGTTCATTTTCCTCCCCTCTTTCAGATACCCTCATTCTTGAGCTCAGGCCCTGAATTTCCAAAAGCAGATCTTTCAATACCCAACATGAAAGCAACAAAAACAGTTAACAGCCAAAAACTGTTAACTCCTTCAGTGGAACAACTGTAATTTTCCAAGGGAGAAGGATGATCACTGTTTCACTGGCTGGATTGTTTGCAGTCTGGTACAGCGACACTGATAGATTCTATAGCTCAAATTTTTAGCACTGAGCTCCTTTAATGTCAAATTCAACTCAAATATAAAACCCATGCTTTCTTCTGTATCTGCTTTAACATCTTTGCCTTTGTATGTTTCCAGGCTGGAGAGATTCACAGCTGCCTCTTCTTACATTGAGATTTGCAGATCTTTTCCTTCAAAGCATCTAAGATATGCAGCTCACACTGCAGAGTACTGAASAGTCAGGAAAATTTCATACAGTAACTTCATATTCACTCTTAGTAATTAAAAGGAAAAAGCTACACAGAGCCAACCACTGCAAACAGAAGTGACTTCTTTCTCCACTGCCCACAAAAACCATCGTCATTCCCATGACTCATCGTATCAGAATGCCCAAAAAAGAGTATATGGCTTAAACAGTCCTTGTTAAAATTACACATCTTTAAGCTCTATCAGGCTGGCTCCAGAAGATTCTCTTTCTTGAAAATGTCTCAGTACACTCCAGTTTTTGCAAAGCCTTACAATCAGCTGAGATATAGGAATACAGCGGTATTTTCCTCTTGGTACTTGTTCTGTATTCATGGTTAATGCAAATTAACAGTGAAATATGAACAGATAGTTCAGTAATGCTTACTGGGTTCAAGCAATCCCCTGCACAAGGAAACAGGATACCCTAGATGTCCCTAAGGAAAAGTCAACTACAACCATGGAAAATTCATGGGATAGCTAAGTTCAGGCAAAGCATAGAGCTGCTTCAAATGGGCACCAGTTTTAACAGACGCTTTTCCATCTATGGTTCTCGCGTAAGTTTTTTTTGTTCTTTTTTGTGTTCTAAAACTTGCCTCCATAGGCAAAGCGATCAATGCAGTAGCATAACTGTACATGCAAAGCTGTGGAGGTATGTCTATGTAAAGACTTTATTTCACTCTAAATTACTTTATCCTGGTAGCATAACCACAATTACAAAATAATTTACCTTAAGATCAACAGATTTTCTTTCAGCAGGAAGCTGCAATTGTTTACCACATATAAAAACACAATGGAAAAAGTGAATAAATATAAAAAACATTGAAAAAGTACTGAAAAAGGGACGACTACAAAAATTTGACCTTTTATATGGAATTGTCTTTGCAGACAACACTTTCCMTCTGAAATGTCCAGAGAGCTTATGACTTTTTATTTTGTCTGTTAAAAAAACTGTTGGAAGCCTTTGCTTTTTTTCCACTTTAATTCATTTTCGTATTTCACAAAACAAAGTAGGAGGCAGGCACACTCTAACTAAGGACTTGAGACCACATGATACTACAATGGCAAACAGTACACTAGAAATGCTCCTGCATAGGAGGCAGTGGGGGAGGAAGACTGGCTGATGCATTTGATAAATTTGTGTCTGTTTTGATGGGCACAAGTAATTTTTATTACTCATTACAAAAATCCTACCTGTACATAATAAAAAGAAAACACAAATGCTGACAGATTGTGCATTTCTTGGTAACTCTGGTTTGGACATTTATTTAAAGGAAGCACTGAAACAGGGAAGAGCAAACCCTGTGCACTTCAAACTCCAAGAAAAGTCTTGCATTTGACTTTGACCTGACAGAGGAACAGAAATACAGGATAAAAAATTTTCAACAACACAACTTCCCTGTCACGAGAGCTCACACTCCTGAATGGCAACCAGAAAAACCCAGAAAAAAGTAAGGTTTTAAGATACATAAAGAAATTAAAAGGTCAGRCAGCTCCTGCTATGGACAGAAATCAGGTCTTGAAGTTCTGAGACAAGCAACACTMCTTATTCTGCTTCAAGTCGAGGTAAGACAGGAAGAATAAGATTTCCAAATGCAGAGTCTTGAGTTATGAAGTATCCTGAGGAATGTGCATGTGCGTGCTGGAAAGAGAAAAGCATTTGTTAAAGCATAACTCCCTTGCAGCACTGACATGATTTAAGACTTCATGGCTTCTGCAGCATTAATTATTTATTTCTCCCAGTCTGCTCCTTAATTCTGATAGTCAAGATTCAAACCCAGCATTTTAGAACAGCCACATCAGAAAAGGGCCCATCAAGACAATTAACTCAGACATACTCTGTTGCTCTTTTCAGCCAACCCCATGGAGGTGGGGCAAATGAACTCCTGATTGCTCTTCTTTGCTGAGACCCCATGTTTCCATTCCCATCCATGAACAGCTTGCAAGTCTTAGTTTATGGCAGCTGCATAGGAGCTGCCAAGCATCCCACAAGCATTGCAGAGCATCCCACAACCTGAGGCTGCAGGTACAAATGACACGTGACCAGACACACTCCTGAACATGGGACACCAGCATTCTGCTCATGTGATGTAGATATGTTTGTTCACCTGAGGGAGGCAACTGCTGTAAGGGTCTGGAACACCTTGGTGAAATCCTACATACCCTTTTGCAGTTCAAAGGCTGGACCCCAGCCAGCTAGATGCTCTGCATATTCCTTCCCTCCACCAACAGGGAAAAGCCCTGCTGGATCTCAAATTTAGCCTGAGCCTGCAGTGTGCCCCTTGGAGTGATCATGGCTAACTGGCACAGTGGACTGCACCAGCAACAGCATGGCCAGCAGACCAAGGAGAGCTGTCTTGAGTTCAGTTTGAGATACAAACTGGAGGGAGCTCAACAGAGACACAAAGAGATGGGTTGTGGGGCTGGGTGCAGCTCTCTGTGCCTAAGGAGATGTTTAATCCTAACAAGGAAGACTTCACTTATGACATACAGAAATGCGAGAYACCTCATCTCTAAAACGGGCTTTTCAATATCTCTAGGAGCATGGCTGCYCTCTGAAGGGATGCACATCTAAAACAGAGCCAAGCTAAACTCTGATGGTATCAGCTCACCTGCAGTGCAGCCTTCTGCTGTGCTGCAATGTGCTGTTGCTCAGCATGATCACGGAAATCCTTATTCAGAGGTGATCTTGCAAGTGCAATGCTGCAAGAAAGAACAAGATGGCATGACACAGGCCAAGAYAAAACATGTGTCTTTGCCCTTCCAGCCATGAATATCAGGACTTCCTCAGCTCTCCAGTTATTTCACTCATGGCTTGACAATTGTTACTATTTGTAATTACCACTTGTTAATGTAAGAGAAAAAAAGAGTACACCTAGTGACCACAGATGAATCATTTCAGCCATCATAAACAGCTCCTGACAAACTAAACCTGTGGATTTTGCTCATGGGTTAAGTCGCACTGAAGCCAGTGAAACACTGGGATGCAGTGTTAAATAATGCAAGCAATTTCTAAAGGAGCTTTGTGCTTTCACCACTACTCAGTCACCGAGTGACTGCTCTGAACRACTGTGATAAACAGAAGCACTAACTAGAACTCTGCAGACTTCAGTATAAAAATAGCTCTTTGGTAGGGGGGGGCAGCAGTCCACTACCTATGATAAAGGAGTTTCCTACTGATGTTTACTGAAATAATGATCCCTTGATGATAGCTTGAAGTACCTAACACTGCCTTAGCTTATCTATCTCAGAGCAGCGTAAGATTTCAAATTAAATATTATTCATGTTTTTCTTGTCTTTTATATTTTAAGAGTTGTCTGCCTTCTTAATCCAAAAAGGAGACATAAAAAGCATCCCCAACTCTATGTAACTAACAGATGAAAATCGGGTGAGGGTTGCCCCTCGGAATTGTATCTCAAGACAATTCAAAACTACCTCTGAAAYTGTCACTGGAGACTGCTGCTGAAAATCCTGCTCTTACCAGTCACATAGACAAAAGTACAAATGACAAGGATTCCAAATTTGTCAATTGAACTTTACCAGCAGCTTCAATGTCAACAACTGATWTAGTAAAGCAGTTTTTGAGAAGCAGCCATGAAAAAAATCTTCAGACAAATCTGAATGCCTAAATGCCTAACAAAAGCTAAGTGATTCAGAGGATTGCTGCTTATGCAAGTATTGACATAAGCTTCACTGCTGGAGAAGAGTACTGCTTTATTTAAAATATATTGTTTTCAGTTATCTTGAAGGTATTCAATTTGTGTTTAATCTGTGCCCTTTAACTTTTCAATGTGATTCCTGCAGATAAGCTTAAAGCTTMACCATAAGCTGACATTTTTAAGAGAGGTCTTTGTTCTCTGATACAGGATTTTCACATGCCAAGGCCAGAAACCAATTAACTCATTCACCCTTATGCTGTCCATGCCACTCTTGTGTTTCAGGTACATCAACCTCTTTCAGTCAAGTTTGCACCATTTTTCTGGGCTCAATTCTGATAACTCTGYAGTCCAAGAGCTTTGGCACAACATCAAAAAACTGTCAGCCTCTCAAAGATCACACATCAGCCCACCATGCCAAAGCAGAGAGTCTGACTGCTGCAGTGTAGGTTCCAACCCATGCCCACCTTCAAAATTAGTAATTCTAATTCTGGTCACCAGAATACAGTGTTATATTTCTTTACAGAAAAAAAAAAAAGAGTAAACAAGCACTCCCTGAAACTCAGACTTGTAAGAAAGTACAGGAAATCTGCTGCCAGAAGTTGTAAATAACAGTATGATATTCTGATTTTCTCATCAACAATTTTGATCAAATAATAACCACATACAGTTATTATTAATAACTTCATACTTCACTCAGAAGGTCTAAATCAGACTTTTTCAAGTATTCTGCATGCTTTTTGACATTATGAAGGAATTAAAAGTGGCATGGAATCTCTCTGGAAAAAGACATGGGCAGCAGACTGTAACCAGAGTATCTGACTCTTGTACAGGTGTTGMAGGTTACACTGTGTTTAGAATACAGCACTGTACTAACTTCATGGTAACCCCAAAGTTTAAGGATCTCAATTTCTCCACATAAATTATTGTGTGACTTCCTAGTCTATGACAAAAATCTGATCTTCTGTCTTGTATGGGAAATATCCCCATACCAACTCTTAAACTCAGATTAGACGATTATGGTGTGGAATCATCCTTACAACACAGCATCTTTTACAGGATTATCTGMAGTATCATAAACTGGCTTTGTCTTRCATMTAGGAAGTTTCAAGAATAACTCACTCCTGCTGTAATTGGTCTTTTCTAAGCACACAGAATCCTGAACCTAATGGTCTGCTACTTCCATTGCCCAGAGCATTTCTGCTTAATAATTAAATGTTTTGTCAGTGTCTGCTTCATGATTTTTCTTTATGATAGACTGTAATACACTTGAGTAAGCGTATCTGCTTCTCTCATTCTCAAATGAGAATTATGTAAGCCAAAATTCATGCTATGTAAACAATTTTAAATACTAGTATGTTCCTAAAGAGCAATGTCCCTCTGTCTTGTTATTAAAGATGGTCAGAAAATACTTCTGTTAAGTACTTGTGTAAGTTTACAGCTCACTAGCTGCTTGTTTCTTTCCCTTGATGTAATCAGTGATTTACAAACAGGTCTAAGAACATAAAATACCTGGCTCCAGGGTGATTTGTGGAAGACTGGTTTTGCATAAGTAACTTTCTCTTCTCCTTGTCTAGTTCTGCCAGGATTGCAACCCTATTTTTATTCTGGAAACCTGGTGAAAATGACAGAAAAATATCAGAGATATTTATTTACTCTGTGGCCCAACCCAAACCCTTTGGAATTAGAATCCCCTGTACAAAATTACTCTAAGATAAATACACTAATCTTCAAAGCTTTGTACCCATTTGAAAAGGCTATTAATAAACAGGCCTCATTTTTCCTTTTCTCATTTTACAGCATGCAATAACTTCCATAAGCTATCATGCATATTGATAAGTTTTAAAATAGAGGTTTGTAACTCAAGTTAGATCCTGTCTCTTCCCAAGCCATCAGGGTATCATGAGGGTACACGATCAAATACCTGCCTTCCAAAAAAATAAACTTACCTGAATCTAGATTAAAAATGTAGTCATTGAAAGTTCAACAATATTCAACATTAAGAATGCATTAATATATTCATGAGGCCTAATCACTCCTGTCAGTGAACTTGAACTATAACACAAGTATAACATATATAACAGGTAAGAATAAGCTAATCACTAATATTGCATATTTGTTTATACAAATGTCTTTCATTAATCTATGCAGAAAGCTTTAAACAGGTAAGGACATACTGATGTCTTTACCTATAAACACCACCTTTATTCTGAATACAATCAAATACTGGAATAAAGAAGCAAAATTAAACTATCATACTGTCTGTTGACAAAATAAAAACATCGCCTTCATGTACTTTGTTCATCATTCTCYCCAAGAGACCTTGAATACTAGCAAAGGGATCAGAAAGAGGGGTGACTGAGAGAATTTCAAAGTGCCCCAAGTAGCTGCCATCTACGTATTTTCCCATGTTGCCTTCTAAATACAAACATGGCAAAACTGTTGTACCTACACAGGACTCYTACATAATAAAGAATCTCACTGCAGGCCTCAAACAAACGAAATGCACAACTCCCTGCTATTGCCCAGTATGCCTGAACAGCACAGCTGAGGACAGCAGCTTCATAGTGACTCTCACAGGGTTTTATGCCACCAAGGACACGCCTCACRTCAGGAATACACACTTTCTAAATCTCTAATTTGCTGCTGCTCTATACATAACAAGTTATGACACCGTTATTAAAATAAAAGAGATATGAAAGTCAAGTTATCTCCTTTATTTTCTCCTCACAAAAAAGTCAACGATTGCCACTGTAAATGCTGCGTGCTGTGCCCCTACCCTGAGTGCTGTCTTAGTGACAGCACTAAAACATGGTAGCCCACAAACTGTTAGGAAGGTCAGACATGGTAACTCCTAAGCAGAGTATTAGCATGTCAAGGCAAAATCATCTATTTTCAGTGGCTGCACTCGAAGTTCATCCTATTTGACTGACCTTGTGTTGGTGTCCAATTACATAATCCAGTATTCATTTCATCTGCAYGGCTCAGTGAAGGAACAATTACCAGATAGAAATCTTCAACTCCAAATAACAATTTGGATCTGTACTGCCTTGGTATCGAACCCTCACCTTTTTCTTCTACCATGCCTAACATACACACCCATAAACATCGATGTCTGAAGAGTTCTTGAAAGGAGCAGTCTTTTGATTTTATTGCACTGCAGTTTTATGTAAGGTCACTCACAATAATTTTGACATTTTTAATACATTTTTTATTGCAATTACTTAATTGGTATTTTTCTTTCCACTAATCTCTCCTTCCCATGTGGCATTAGCTCCACTTAAAATCTGTTTTGTAAGAATATTGGTTCAGGTCTTGGATGTTTCTCTGCTCTTCCAGTATTGCACACTACCTCTTTTTTTGAAGGCCATGCAGTTGCAATGAATCTGAAACATTAAAACACAGCTGAMATACAAAGGCTGAGAAATCTTGCCAGGAAGCTAGGCTTTAAGATTTYGGAGCTGCAGCTAGCCCAGACTTTACTTTCTTGTAAATTCTGGAGACGATGTGTGGATAACATGACTGAAGCACCTCTAAGAGAATCTGATCTGAAACAACCAAGTCTATATGCTCATTCTGCACAATTTTAAYAATTTAATAACTTTAATTAAAAACCTTTATACTTAACATACTAGTCAGCACCCTTCTGCTACTGCTTGCTTATCCTGAGCTGCATACATCTAACTGCATGCTTGGAGTTCAGAAGATATGATAAATAATGAAAGAAAAAAGGAGACTACTTTTTAAGGTAAGTTGTTGTGATCTAAAAAAATAAAGATTAAATATGCTTAAATTTATCATGAAGCAGATGGTATGATTCAGAAAAGCCTGAAACATTTTAAACGCTGCTTTTAAACTGTGATCAGAAACTGTAGAAGATTCTGTCTTCTATTTTGGGTCTTGTTACAGTATCTTATGGCAGGAACTCTAGCAGCATTCAGAAGTAACCCAAGTATTYTTTTTTCTTGTATCTCTACTAAGAGCTTTGTAGTGAGATTTTTGGGTTTTTTGCTGTTTATTCTTAAGTAATATTTTCCACTAGAATTCTGACAGAGACCACCAGCAACCTGCTGTGCTGAAAAAGTAATTTGTTTAAGAGAATTTGTTAATGGCAAAGAGAGAAAAGCCTGCTTAATAAAGGGGAGAAGCACATTCAACATATACATGTTAGTATCCCTTGGCTGAGATATGTGAAGTTCCTGCASGTATTTTAAACTCTTTCAAAATGTAAAGCAAAGCCTGTTTATTTAAAGGTTAACAATGGAAGGGGTGGAACATAAGAAATCCATTTTATAGAGGAATTCTGGCATCCTTATAAAGTAACTAACCGTATCTGGCAGTACATAAGCAAGACTTTCATTTAGATTGCTGCTTGTCCAGGAACCCAAAGTGCTCTCATGAAGACCAACTTGAAACTCCTACAGAAGTTTCCCACTTCAATGATAAATAATTTTTCATCTGCAGATTTGTCTGTTCTGCTTTCTATTACTAAAAATGTGGACATGCAAAAATCAAAAGCCATCCTTAGTACAGATCACATTCTCACATGTGAAAGTATGTGCAGATTTTCAAACACAGGAACTTCCTATAAAACTTTAAATTTAGACTTCCCTGGACTGTGCTGAGTTGCACTAATATTTTCAACAGTTTGAATACTGCAGATTATTATTTTCTCCTTATGTCATGAGTTCTGACACAAAATGACCTGTTAAAGGCAACTAAATAGACTAATGACAGTGTCAGATGTCAAACTGAGCACCTAGATCCTCAGATTACTCTCTAATGTAGCAGATTCAGGACATTTTAAACTTAAACCTTTCTGACACCTCTATTTCTGGGATCAAACATTGTATTTGTACAGGAGTTGAATAATTACTTGCACTTATTTTCTGCACATAAAAGTAAGAAAGAGAAAGCTGGAGTCTTGCTGAGTGATACTGGTAGCTTTAAGAGCTCAGAGCAAGCTTCTCTCTTTAATCTAATCCTAACACCTCATGCTACCACCCTGTCTCATCCTATCTCTGTCAGTTAGTTCTTCTAACTAACTCTCATGGCAAGAAACAGCAAYACCTTTACCTACTTTTAAATTTTTACTTTTCACTGATGATCTTTCCCTTGATCTGTTGATTGCTTCAAATTCACAGCACAATGAAGATTTTTCTAAGACACATTATTTATCATTTGTCCATAARCCTGTAACAGCACAAAAGAGCCCTCCACTACTTTTGTGTTCAAGGTAGACTTTTACTTGGAAAATGTATTCAAAGCTGATGCAAGCTCCAAGCTCTGAACATTGAAAGGAACTGCATATTGTCCTGCCTATTCTATTCAGACAGAATTTAAAGCAATTTCTTTACTGAAGTGCATGTTTCTATAAATTGTTTCTATAAATTCAGCACTCATAAAGTGACACAGCAACCTCTTAAAAAGCAGAACACTTATTAAACACACACCACTTGGGAAAAAAAAGGAGTAATTCTATTGTGCTGTCCTCTTCTGCTTATGATGACTGGTATCTCAAAACATCATCTAACAGTCTGCTGCACACCAAAACTCACAGTAACAATTMACATTTGGACATGATTTCCTACACTTTGCGTGACAATAAAACAAAAGGCATACTAGTTATTCAGTAAACTGATTTACTGAAAAATACATTAGTATTTTGTCTGTGCCTCCAGAACAGCTACATGCATAGCTGAATGCAAGTCATTGACAGCTTTATGGCTGCAAAGTTCTCAAGCACTTTGCTTACACACAGATCAGACTCAGATGTGGAACAGCAAAGCATAKAGATGATGAAATAATTCATTGCAGAATAGCACAATATACTTTTTCAGACTCAAGAGAACAGAGAGCTAAATCTAGCTGTTTAGAATGTGCTACATGCATGCATTTACATACCCTCAGGCCAAAAACAACTGCCATGATATAACGAGACTCTATAGAATTGCTACAGCTGGAAACCTAGAATTCTGTTCAGATTTCAAGAACTTGTTCTTCCAACATACCAGAATTCTTATTTTTTGAAAGATTCAGCCCTGTCTCAAGCAGGATCTGTATTTTTTCCACCTTTGGGGACTTAAAGAAGAATTCTGTCCTGAGCAGTTACATTTCTCTCATCTTAGAGGGCTTCCTCTAGGAGGACTCACACACAGAGTGGTTAATTCAGTTACACCCAAGGTGTGCTCTGGCCTTGCTGCACAGAAAGGCATTACACAGGAGCAGCCTGATGAAGGCATGGCTGCCTAAATACTGTGAAGTACTACAGCAGGAGCACCTGGAAGCATTTGCTGTAATTCAAAAGGTGACTTCTCCCCTCAAAGTGTACCATTCTTGTCTACGAGCTCATCTAGAGGACAATGCACAGCATGCTAGAAGATTTTCCATCCATTTCAAACGCCTTAGTCAGTCTCATGCAGTCAGTTCCATGTGGTAGTAATAAACTGAAGCAAGGCTTTTCATTCAGTTCTGCTTGTTTTCTCTGCACTCATATGCAGCTCAACAAAAGTGCTTTTCTAAAAGGCCAATGAATAAGAGTCTAGCCCACAAAATCTTAACTTTTCTAGTCTGAGTCTGTAGTCAATGGAAAACTCAAATTAACTCCTGACAAAATGCCAGGTACCCATTAAAGGAAATGCAGTAATTTGGTACAAAAAAATAACCATCACATTCTGCCTGTGTAGAAGGCTAATGTTTAATTAATCTTTACAGTCCTGCCTGAGTAAGCTGTACCATTCATAATCCTTCCAGTGAGAGTTTCAGTTAATTTCTATTCCTTTCGTCCAAGTAAAAAGAATGGATTGCTTGAACGGTACTAATATGTATGCTATGATGCAAGCTAAAAATGCAGGGTTTTTCTCAATCATTTTCACTACTAGACTGCATCTGGACAAGAAAGAAATCCTGAACTGTTGTTTATATTTATCTGCTCCTTTCTAATTTTCCTAATTGTACTATTTATAGGCTTATTTGGTAATTAAACTTGATAGTATCTCTTGTGTCCTTAGTGCAAACAATTYTCATACGATAATTACACAGCTCCTTTAGTGAGTCTCTAAATGCATCTCAAATATAAAAGCAGATTACCAGGCTCTAAATTATAAGAATGGAGTCAGGAGAGAAGCAAAGGCGTTCTGGCACTTAAACCCCATCTTATTGCTCAGTAAACCAATATATTTAAGAAAAAGCAGCTTTTAACTCTATGTGACAGCACTCTATTCCTTGCAGTGATGCTGACTTAGTATTCACAGAATAAAGCAAGATTTGCCATTAAGTACAAAAAATTTTCTCAGGGTTAAAATTTGCCAACAGACAGTTCTGCAATCTGCAGTACTCCTCTCTCAACACTTCACAAAATCTCACCAAGCATTCCAGAAACTACCTCCTTTTCATCAAGTAACAAGTCACATCTGTGTTCTGGACCCACAGGAGTCATGATACTTCACAACTTGAAGYATCATCCATCAACACCCAGCTTGGCAGGCCTGCTTGAGGAGAAGACGCAAACACGGTGTGCAAAAGTCTCCACTTGCTGGGGAACTGAACCCACAAYGTAAATGAAGGGCCACACCTGAGCAGCTTTTTCCTCGGAGGCTCTTCCATACATTTCCACTAAGGTTTCCAGAAGGCACCTCTAGATGGCGATTTAACACCCTTCTTCAATTTCAGCAAGTGACAGCCCCAAGAGCCTCAGCTCCCTCTAAAGCACCTGCATCACCAGGACAGATAGACCATTACTAACACTCCTACAATTTTAAGGCTGCAATTCAGATGCATCCTCGTAAAAAGGAACCATCACCGTTAGCATCACAGTTTTAACTGGCTTTTCCTCCCAGACCTGGCCACTTGATGACAGATATTACTGCCTGGCTCTTGCTATTTTCATCATGACTTTTGGCTGCTCTCTGGTGCTGAGTACAAGAGCTGCCAGTCATGTTCAATACCAAGTGTTGTAAGTGTGCGAAATAACCTTCAGAAAATGATCACTGTGCCACAGGCATGTGAGTGAGTATGACACTATGCTCAGTAACTCAGAGCACGCCAGCCATCAGYGGTTTTTTCCAAACATTTAATGTGTGTGTATCTTGTCCCAGAAGGACTGCTGCCATTCTGCTGCTTTCAGTCCCACCTCTTTTCCCTTTCTTCACCTTCCCATAAAAAAAACTTAGTTATAGTCACTTCACTGCCATTTTGCAGTCCTTTCCCTTGAATAGTTAGATTAAAACTCACCTTGTCCTGAAGGATTTGCTGCCATTCTTCAATTATCAGCCCTTGTTTTATTCAACTGGAGTTCAAATCTTTCAACCCCCACAAAAWTCTGAAAAATAGGCACAGTTTAATATGAACATACTCCTTCAAAAGGAGAGCTTTGATTTCATTCTGTTAGAGACTTTATAAATACGGCAACTGTTAAGAAAGCACAACCCAAACACAGTATATGCACTGCTTAAAATATAGAGTTCATATTGTTATGACTGAAACTTTCAGATTGAAATATCAAGTATTGTGATAAGTACTTCTTTACAGATTCTAGTAATTTCTATTAGCAGTAGTAGCAATTTCTCATAATTTCTATTCTCGTAAGAATAACTTTTAGAGTCATACATGCATTTTCCCAATTTGACTTCTTCCTGACAAGGTACATGAGTTGACACTTAAGAGTCACATCAAACCACTGTAGTCCTTAAATGCCTTGGAAGATCCCAGTTTAGGTCTAACTCAAGAGAAATTGATTGTTTGAAGACAGGCAATTTAAACCCCACAAACAATGCCAGCCAAAGTTGGCTGCAGCTGCGGCAAAACAGAAGGAGGCTTGCTCCTAGGCCATACATCACCTCGGGCCACCATCAACTTCTGTTTCCATCAAGGTGCCAGGCTGTAAAGTGCAGTGGCGAAGAGCTTTGGCTCAGCCAGGCGGAGCCGCGGACGGGGACCTTGAATCCTGCAGGAAACGCAAATGAGAAGTCACAACCAGACTTCCACAGGAGTCCGGGTCACTGTTACGCCCTGGACCTGTGGATCCCTGAGCAGCAACGCCGCAGTGAATTAACAACTCACAGACMGTATTAATTAAGCGCACTGGCAGCGGTCGGGACGGGTTTGTCCGAGCGGCGTGGATGGCTTGACCCAGTGCCGTAGCGGCCCGCGTCCCCCCACACGGCTCGGAATGGGCTCTCCCGCTCGCCTTTTCCCTCCCGCCCACAATGGATGGATGGATGGGCTCCCCGGCTCTCCCCAGCCCAGCGGCGATGCTGGCCCTAGCCCGGCCGGCCCGGGCCCGGTGCCGGTAGTCCCGCCCGCCACGCACGCACCTGCCCGCGGGCTCGGCTCTCCGGCTCCTTGTGGCCCCTCAGCTCGCCCTCCCCGCAGCGCAGCCGCGCCGCCCCCGCCCCCTGCTCGTGACGCGGCACCGCGCGACGGCGCCCGCGCCTCTCCTCGCGCTGCCCGCGCCCGCCTCTCTTCCCGCGGCCTCCCTTCCCTGTTCCCGCGCCCGCCTCTCTTCCCGCGGCCTCCCTTCCCTGTTCCTCTCGCACTTCCCGAGCCCGCGCCCCGCTGGCTCTGCCCGCGCCCGGAAGGGTCGGGCCTGTGCGCATGAGAGGGTTGCGTTCAGCGGTCAGGCTGTGTTTGCCTGCCCTGCGGCTCCTCATTGGCATCGCCTGGGCACGGCAGGGAGCGGGAGGTTTTCATGCTGGGATCACGCTATGGGGAGTCCGGGCAGCACCGCGGCTAAATAGTGAAAAAAAACCCACGAGTGAAGGGAAGGGCTCACCGAACCAATGTCCGAGATTCCGAGTCCAACCTGTGACCCAGCACCACCATGTTTACAGTGGCACTCGGTGCCACATCCAGTCATTGTTTAACACTTCCAGGGACGGTGACGCCATTAACTTCCTGGGCAGCCCATTCCAAAGTCTAATCACCCTTACAGGGAAGAAATTCTAATGTTCAACGTGAACTTTGCCTGGCGCAGCTTGGGGTTGTGTCCTCTTGTCCCTTTCATTCTAATTTTTTTTTAAATCACTGCCATTCAGCTTGTGTTGGAACACAGYAGCAATATTTACCATGAATTCCAGAAAGGTTTGTTCATGGAACTAGTGCACAGTTTGCTTTTGGAATGTCAATTAACAGCTGTATAGGTAAGAGTACCTGATAAAGTGATCGAGTCTGACCTGAAGGATAAAYCTTAGTGTTAAAACGGCAATCTGAGACTTACTGGTTTATGTCCTCACGTTGAAAATACTTCCGTTTGAATCAAACCAGACGGAGTAGTGATTTGAACTGTGGATTATAACAGCTGTAGCTGTGATTGTAAATCGATAAAACCAATTATTAAGCACTGCTATAAATGAATAAATAATTAAAAGACTGCATACAGATGGGGCCAACACTGACCTCCTTGTAACCAAAAATCATCACCTAAGTAAGTTTTCTATGCMGGGTTTTTTTAAGGCGCTAAACACTTTTCATGAAATAAAGGCCCTTTTTCTTCTTTAACTGAATTTAAGGAAATGTAGGAAATCAGTTACTTTTTTATTATTTAGTTCAAGGTGTCTRTGTAGACATGCATTTACTGAAGGATATTAATATTAAAGTTTTGATGGAGTATGTAACAGGCACTTCTGAGCAAATGACATTTCCTTACAGGAAGGGTGATATTGGATGTGGTAGTCAAACCTTCTGTACACTGCAAATAATTTCATCTACTTTCATCAAATGCTAGAAGTCCATAACCTCATCACTCTTCAGACCTCATGTGAAAAAAGGGCTTATTAAAAACTGTTGGTTTAGCTATGATGGACTTCTTTATAGGTAAAAACAGATGAAGGATGTACATGGTGCTAAATGTGACACTAATTCATTAGCTTGGACAACCAAAAACATACTGAGATATTGAAAGCAATTAACAAGTAAGATCTGCTGCAGCCAGCTTAACTTAATAAAGAAATAAATTACATTTTTGAGAGTGTACAGAATATATAAAAATCCTGTCAGTCTCTATAATAATGGATTWATTTGTCTTAAAATAGCATGCCTTGGTATGATACACATAGATCCTATCAGAACGGCAATATTCTGCGAAATAAGTATGCTATTTGTTCTTGCATTTATAGTTTTTAAAGACTCACTAAGTGCTTGACCCTTGTAAAACTAAACAAGTTTATGTCTCGAAAATTGTGATGTCCAGATGTGGAATTTAGTACCTAGACTGTTTGCCTGGTAAAAGCAGTATGTGGGTATGCGTGTGTGTTTGTGTAGGGGTGTGTGTGCCTGTACCCAAACCAGCAGACAATCTCAGGGAGTTTTCTGTTTGCTTTAAAGCCTGGTTAATTAATACTGTGGGAAGCAAACATTGCCACCTTTCCCACATATTCGTATTATTGTAAACTGTTCTATATGCATGAACAGCTGACTGAGCACCTGCCCTTCTGATTCTTTTTGGTATTGTTTTTTTGTTTTGTTTCATTTTGTAATTTCTCATTTTGCCTTGAGAAATGTCATATGTGCTAATTTTTTTCTCCCTTTTAATTATTCTTCCTTGAATGATCGGCAGACCATTTTATCTAGACATTTTGCTTGCAATCCTAAACTGCTGAGAAGCATGGTGAGAGAAGAGCAGCATAGCACCCACGCTAATAACCCTACCTGGTGCATTTCTCTTTGTTGTCRTGGCAGGACTGATGATGTAAGGGATTCTAAAAMGTTGCAGTTTGAGGCAGAGAAGCCTAGCTGCTCGGCTTCTCTTTACACAGCTAACACTGGTTAGAAGAATTAATTAGTGGACAGTGGTCCTTAATTAGTGGACAGTGGTTGGGGATCAAGAAAGAAAGGTAACAAATGAAGAAGCAGCAGGGCAAGGAGAAAGAATCATCAGCATGGAAACTCAGATGAAGAAAAGTTGGGACTCATTAATTCTTTGTTTATGTACAAGTGTGGTGAAAATTTATTATAGTAGAAACTTTCAGCATCTCTACAGAAACATGGTCATGCCTCAGTCAAAGGATCCCTTGGCTTTGGGAGGTGTTTCATATCAGTATAATATCAATTAATTTCCTCCTTGGGTTAAAGAAACAGGAAGAAATGTAGCCCTTTAAAGGAATGGTATCTAATATCTCATGTGTCAGAATACTTTCATTTTGCCTGAAATTCCTCCTTCTAGTGTAGCATAAGCAAATAAAAAAATATAAATAAAGCATTTACGGCATGTCTGTTGGAAAGCCATTACAAAATCTTCGGTTTAAAAAGAGGCTGTTTTTATATGCAGCCTCACAAATCTTGCCATGCTGTTCCTTGAGGCGATAAAATGCTGTTTTTCAGGCTYGCTGTTCTTATTATCTTGGAGTAGAGGAAGCTGTGTATCCCAAACAAAAGCAGTGTTGAATGTAATCCTGAATGAACATAAACCGCAGTATTTCAGAATGACCATGGGAGCTCGATTCACTATAGGCTGAGATAAAATAGTGATTTACACATTGGGGACTTTTCCCTGTAAGTGATAATAGTATGTGCACGATGTCTCCTGGGCTTGAACCATGATCTTCCAGAGTGCTTTTATTTCCATAGTGCAGTGCTACTCCTACAGATCCATCCTAATTTTATTTCTTTTGATTTATTGCATATGTGGCAAAAAAAAACCCTTCAAATAAAATGTGTTTTGAAGAGTCTTCAAGCATTTTAAATTGGTTGGGTTTTTTTTTTTTAAATCCAATTGTGTAAAGGTACTGTATCCATAGTTAGAGCCTTTCTCCTTGACTAGATTTTTGATTTTTCATTTTATAGCCATTTAGCACAGACTTCCACTTTGTAGCACAAATATCCTGTGTTTCCCCAATCCTGTTCATGGCACCCCCATCAAACCTGACAGCTTTGAAGGCTTTTAATGCAGCAAAAGCTTATGAATTATGAATTAGCTTACATGTGTGCACGAATGCTCACATGTTGTGTGCTCTTGACTTGAAACTGATCCTATCTCCATAAAGAGTCAATGCGCATGTGCATAGGATTTACAGTCAAGTCAAAAGCCTGCCCTCTCCAGTCTTTGCAGTACAAGACATGAGGTCTAAAAGCATACGGAAGGACCCTTTCTGAAAAGACAGTTGCATTTTGGGGATTTTTACATCTTCTAGAAAGGTCTTGTTCCATACTAGTTTCGTATGTGCCTATGTGCAGGCAAACACAAACATTATCCTTGCCAAGGTAGACCACAGTGGGGAAAAAATAATACAGTTGAGAAGAGGCTGTTGACASCATGGAAAAAAGCTTTTACTGCTCTTGACCTGTCAAACCAGCCAGTATGTCTGTTGTGGCCTCGAGCCTACCTTATTGTTTGTACTGTCTGGAGTGTACTATCAAGAATCCTTGAATTCAAGTGATGAAAAGCAGGTGGGYTTTACATCTGGTCTAGTGAATAAATATAACATGAAGTTAACCTCCTGATATTCATTGTAAATGCTGTTATTTTATGTCTCATTATCTGGACAAGAAGATGAAGATGCATTACAAAAAGTATGTTAAGAAACAACTGAGAGTCCTTTTCAGGCTCACACCGAGCACTTACAAAGCCATCTGCCATTATAAAAACATCCTGGGTGGTTTTACTAGAGTAACTGGCATTCCAGATAAGAACAGCAGCACAAGATAGGTGCTTCCTACCTTTAAATTTGTAAATAGATTTTTCTGCACATCATCCGTGGATCTTTTCTTTCCCTGTTTATCCTAGTAAACAGTCCTACCTACGAGGTAGCCTGCAGACTTTGATTTCAGTGACAGAGTCAGAACTATTTTCTTCAGAAAAAAAAACATGTGATATTGGTGTCCCTTGTCTTGATTTGTGAGATTCATGATCCCAAAATTGACCATTTGTCTTGTTGCTCAGTTAGCATTACACWCATACTCCTCTGTTTCATCTTGTTTCTGAGCTGAAATGATATAAACATAATAAATAGATAGATAAATTTTGCTTGGAGCGCATGCCAGTTTTTAAAAGGTAACTTGGATTGAGATGTGGACATTGAATACCAGTCTCTTTTCAGCCTGACACTGATTTTGGTTTTTCATTGCGTATTTTATTCTGGTTGCATGTTTCATGTGCTAGACGGTTTTAGCTTGGTCGATGTTTAATGAAAGAAAACAATCAATATATTTGTCAAGAAAAATACTAGTCATAAAATTATACCACCAAACTGGAAAAGGATACGTAATTTCCTTAATACTCATAATTTCCTAGCAGAATTACGGTTTTTAATTTAATTTTTTAATTTATTAGAAAATAGACACTTTCCTTCCTCAGTTTTTGGCAGTACTCTTGTGTCTGCTGTTGGGAGCCAAATGATCACATGCTGATACATTTAGAGGTTCCTGTTTGTGCATAGAAAACGATTCCTACAAGAAGTCAGCCACATAGCATACCCTTCTTTTCTGTTTCATTTTATGCCCAAGAGATTTGGAGTTCTTTATGACCTCTGTTCATAATGTGTGATTAGTTGTAACGAAAGTACAAGATTTGTTCCTAACTCTAATTTCATATTCAATGTTCTATCTTCTTTTTGAAGTTCAAATCTTGAAAATAACTACATAACATTGTCATCTTCCATGTTAAAGAAAAATAGAAATGGGTTTCTCTTATGGCTGAAGAGGAAACTAAAAGCTCACCCTAGTCTGTGATAYGAACTCACAGAGAATACAGCAAAGGCCAGACAATTGTACAGATTTTTAAGGTTACACATTTAAAGTACAATCTATTTTAGAGTATGATTTATGGTTTTTGAACTCTTCTCATAGAGCATAGAATGGACTGGGTTGGAAGGGACCTTAAAAATAATCCAGTACCAACCCCCCCCCCCCCGTCACAGGCAGGGAACCTTCCACTGGAACAGGTTGCTCAGAGCTCCATCCAGCTTGGCCATCTCCTAATTGTTCAGTTTCATAGTTTGCATCTGCTATCTAAGGTACGTATCGCAGTTAAACCTAGATTGCTSTCTGTACAGATCCTTACAGACTTGGTACTCACTGCAATCAGAGGAAGACAGACATGTCATTAGTCATTAAGACAGTGTTAGATTGCCTATCCATTTTGTTTTGGTTTTCGAAAGTGTGTTAATTGTCATAAATTACATTGAAGTGACCTAGTGTCGACAGTTAGCCAGCTTGACTTTACAGCATGCTATGTGTTGGAATTCTGAAATTTAACATAACTTTAATAACCCGATTTAGGAATACCACCATAATAATCAGCAATCGCCATTTTCCAGTGTAACCGCTCTTCCACTAATGTCTTCTGAACTTTTTCCARCCAGATTTCAACTTACTTGTATTCACAGGTGCACAAATATTCCTATAGTTTGCATATACTGATCCAGTTAGTTATTTGAAAATGTTTCTAAGTATTCTGTGTCAGATGCAATTAGTAAGGATGACATAGCAGAAACAATTTGGATAACACAGATAAATGTAACTAATGAAGAGGCATATATTGCCCTATCACTGGAAACTAGACTAATAAGTGGATCTCTGAAGCTTGGAACTTTATCCTTTTATACAGGATAATTGAGAGGTCACCTTACATAACCTCAGAAATCAGACATCTGTAGCAGCACTGAATCATTTAGGCTGTAAGGGACATAGGGAGGTCTCTGTCCAATCTCTTGCTTAAAGGGTCAGAGGGTCACACATGAGATCACACCAGATCGTCCTGATAATCTCCAAGGATGGAGACTGCACAATTTGTCTCTGCAACCTGCTCTGCCTCTCAGCTGTCTTCAGGAGGAAAAATGTTGTCCCTAATGTCCATCAGGAACTTYCTGATTCAACTGATGTCCTTTGCCTCTTGTCCTCCTGCTGTGGTCTGCTGTGGTGAGTCCAGTTCCATTTGCTCCACCCGCTCCCTATGGGATGCTGGAGGATGCAATCAACTGTCCTTGAAGCTGTCTGCTTCATCCAGGCTCAAAAAGCCTCAGCCCCACAGCTGCTGCTTGCAGATGGTCAACCATCTCAGTGCTCCCCCTGAACTTTGCCCAGTTTGTCAGCATCTTGTATAAATATCCCATAATCACAGGATCTCTGATAAGGTCTAATAAGTGCCAAGCAGAGACTGATAAACCTTRTCCTCGATCTGCTGCCTGTGCTGCTTGCTTTTTAGGTGGCCTGGATACCACCTGTCTTCTTTGTTGCAAGAAAGCAGCAGGCTTCTGCTCAGCTTGCTGCCCACCAAGCCAAGGTTTAATGAGTAGAAGGTCATTTGTACTTGCATAGAGCTAGGATAGCCCCAGGCTTCCAAACTTTGGAAGGTGTTTGCATCCCTGACAGGTTTCTTTTGGAAAAGGATTAAGCTGGAAACACAGCTGAGGGAAGATCCTAAGGGAAAAGAGAGGAAGAGCTCTCAGTAAGTCCTAAACCAAAACAGAAGGGAACCAGTTCCTGAGCAATGTGGCAGATACATGAACCTGCCTGCTGCTTTATCACCATAGTGTCCACTTAAGATTTGGATAGTCTAAAAGAAAGTTGGGATGCATGTATTTATGCTGGTAGTTTGCATTGCTTCCTTTTCCTGATAGATAAATAGGTTGTTTCTGAAGTGTAATGAACAGGGAATATTTCACAGCCTCCTTCTCGCTGGAGCCTGCACTTGGTTTGGACTTTTGATTTTTACTGGAGTTCAAATGTTATGTAATATTTAGTAGTTATTTATAGTAATGATTGATTTTTTTTCTCTTATTTTCCCCCTCTGATAAATAGCMTGTCTTTTTGTAATGACAGTTCACAGTGTGGTGTTCTCATGGTTGTCCTGCTTCGTGGCATCTGTAAAACTTGGTAACTTAGCTTTAGGTATTGGTAGTGCCCTTTTGATTTCAATGGTCTGTTCTCCCCAGAAAAAGCTAAACACAAGTGAAGTATTTACAGCATCCAAGTCTTATCTGGTCACATGCCTGTATGTGTCTCTTCATATATTTATCTGTAGCTGGAAGGGATTATGGACTTTTTATAGTGATACATCACTTTCCCCAGTAGCACATTACTCTGACGCCTAATTAATGTTGAGCAAATTATTTTGAAAAATATAATTTATCAGCCAAATTTAGCTGCTTTATGTGCTGAGGGAACATCTTAGACCGGACTATGATTTTTCTCCTACTTATTAGTTATTCCGAAGTCATCAGCACTTTTTCCATATTGTTAAAATGGGGATAGATCACTGAATTTTTGTAATGCATACACGCTGTTAGATTTGCACGGGTCGCTTCATCAGGACTTGATACATCATCTTTCAGCTCTTTTCAGCACGACGTAACATTCTACAACAATGCAATCTCTAAACGTGAGATCTCTGCGGTAAAAGTAGACCCACGACATCAGAGAAAGCATGTTTCTGTGCAGGCCTGGTGTGCAAGACATCTATGTGTCCACTTGCGGTCCAYTCCCACCGCGAGGGAGTCCCGGAGGCCGGGCCTTGTCCCTCTTGTGCCCGGCTGGGGTCGAACCTGCACCGCAACCAGCCGCTTTACAACTTTCCCTTCAAACATGAGCGTAGTTTGAGGTCGGCGAACTGAGCCTGGAAAAATCGAGGAGCTGGATTGCTTTTCTGGCACTTTACCCAACAACGCCGCAGYCCGTGGTGGCCGTCGGGGCCGCTCGGTGGCGCGGAGCTTCCCCCGGCCCGGCCCTGCCGGGGCTCCGCGACTCTCGATGCCTCCACCGGCCCGGCCGGGGCTTCGCGGGTCTCGATGTCTCCCCCTGCCTCCTCCCCACCCCGCCCCGCCCGGCTGGGCCGGGTGGCTGCCGGGGGTGGTGCCTGTGTCCCCGGCGCCGGGTAGGGAGGCCCGCGCCCTCCGCTGGCGGTCCGAGCCCGGCCGGGCGGGGAGGGGCGGCAGGTGGCGCGGATGGCGCTTTGCAAAGGGGCGGGCGGTGGCGCAGGCGGATGCTGCGCTCGCTCCTCCTCCTCCGCCGCAGCCGTCGCCTCCTGCTCCTCCTCGTATCGGAGCGGTGGCGGGCAGGCTCTGGCCGCGGCCCCGCAGCTCCTCGCCGAGGCGGCGCGGCCTCTGCTCCCTCCCTCCTTGCCTCGGTCGCTGCCCGGCCCCGGCGCGATGTCGGGCGGTGCGGCGAGCGCCCCTAAACCCCTCCCGTCCTCCGGGCCCAAGTCGCTGCGGGAGATGCCGCATCCCCTGGCCACGTCCAGCAGCGAGGAGATGGGGCCGGCACTTACCCCCAGCCCCGACCTGCTCCTGCCCCGAAGCATCGCCGACAAGGTACGGCCCGGGGGAAGGGGGCGCGGCATTTGAGGGGGCCTCTGGTGTTGAAGGAGTCTCTGCATTGAAGGAGAGCAGGGAGAAGGGTTGTGTATGTCCTTCCCTGATACATCCCCTTTCCCGGCTTCGTCTCCCCGCCGATGAAGCCCTGGGCGCTGCTGACATCTATTGCAAGAGCCCAGAGCGGCCCCGGAGGGAGAAGACAATCCTATCCCTTGCTGCGAGGTACCGGCTGGGACACTGGTGGTCGCGCTGTCATCAGAGGGTTGCGAGAGGCGATATTTTTCTTACTGTGTCTACCTGTGGCTCATACTGTCTACAGATCGGTGTAAATTTTTGCGGAATTGCTGCAGCACCTTTGCTRCCTCCTTCTTGTAGCCGTCACCGAGAAGGCTTGGGGCTGACATTGTTTCCTTATCATCAGCTTGTCTGTGATTGTCCTTTTCAGGCTGAACTCCTGCTCACTTCTTCCCAGTACTAATACAGACAGGGTATCTATGCGTGTTTGCCTTCCCTAGCTCTGGCATATGTTCACAGGACACTAGTGAACTCTGTCAAGTGCTTCCCCGTGGTGATAATACGGTAGTGGCAGTACAGCACTGCTGGTGCATTAGCTATGCTTGCAAGAACTTGGTATCTCTGTAGACAAGACTTCCTGACGTTTTTTGGGTAGGATTTCCTGGGAGCAAGAGCTGCAAGGAGTGATATGGGCTCGAATATCACAGCTGGTTTGTGTGTACAGGGTGTTACTGAGTTGCTGGTGTCAAGAAGTGCTTCTTCTATGGCTTTTGTCCTGGGGAGTATGGAGCGACTTCTGGGTARGATTGATCCCCAGGCTCCAAGAGTTTTGAGGCTGTCAGTGGTATCTGGCCCGATACGCTCCCATGCTACAGGGGAGTGAGTGAAGGTAGCCTGGCCTGTGCATATTTCATCATCTGTGTGCAGCTGTGTGTAGGGATTCAGCCCTTCTTCTTGCCCATGTAAGGAGTCATCTCCTTGAACATTTGCCCACTGTTGTTCTACTGAGAAGCCAGGCTTACCTTYGATTCAGGAACATATGCCTTCATCTAAGAAATTAGTCAGAGTTTATGACCTGCTGAGAGAAGGGTAGGGTGACTAAGGCAGGGGCAGAAATTGTGGAGGTTTTTGTCTATGATAGATTGATTTAATCATGTAAGTAGGTTGTTGTTTGGCAGAGCTATAGCAGTAGAAGTTGGCAGCTGCCTTCACAGATCTTGCAGATGAGGAGTGCAGTGATTGTACCATACTCACTCTGTTAGCATGGTCCACACTGCTGTATAGTGGCTGAGTAGCAGTGATCGGAGGAGTAATTCACCATCTGTAACACCTTTCCTCAGATGTATTTAAGAACTTTTTTGCTTTTGGAGTGCAAGCAAGCTTATCTTGCTTTGAGGTTTTGAGAAGTGTATCAGTATTCCTGGCAATCTTGGAGCAGAAATACCTCTCTAKCTGCAAGGCTGTAGTCAGCTAACTTATCATTAGTAGGAAGGTTCTTGCCCAGTTTTTCCATCAGCAATAGAAATTAAATCCACCTTCTGGTACCTTTATGTAGTACTGTCCTGTTCCAGGCACTTGGCAGTGTAGAAGTACTCTAAAAGGGAGAGCAAAAGTGGCTGTGGTAAGTGATGTTTAGACTTGAGAGCAGTTCCGTGCTGGACCTGGAAATGGTGCTTGGTTATGATCCTTGCAGAATGAAAGGCTTTCCAGTATGAAAAGAATATATATTTTTTTTTTCCTTCTAGCTGAATTAGCAGAAAAAGCCAAATGTCTTACTGTCTTGATGGAAGGAGATCAACAGCTCTGCTGTATGGGATGTCCCTTCTTTACTTTAATGCTTCACACACTGGCAAGAAAAAAATGGGTTAACTTCTTTCCCACCACAGAAGAAAAATTTAGTAAACAGGTGCTCCTAGTTTTAAGGCAATGGTAAAATTCAACTGCTTGCACTAGGTATTGAGTAGTCTACAGAGGGAGTGTGGTAAGAGGAGGTAAACAGGTAAAACAATTCTTTGGGTGGCTTGTATGTCTCAGTCTAAGAGTCATGTAATGGTTTGAGTTGGAAAGGAGTTCAAGAGTGATCTAGTCCAACATCTGCACTGTGTACAGAGACACCTTTCATTAGACCATGTTGCTCAGAGCCTCATCCAACCTGGCGTTGAACACTTCCAGTGTTAATCATAAAATTCTTAATATGTGGTGGTAGGTTACTGATCTTTTGAAAGATTGGCCCACTAATCAACTAACAGTGCTGAGGAACTTCAATAACTGAGTAACGAAGGGAGGTCAGCATTCAAGTCAGACTTAGGCTTAAAGCTGTGCAGTTGTTATTTATTGATTCTTGAGCAGATGCTGTTCTGATCTCCCTGGCCTTTTTAGGGAGTGTCTGGTGGAGATTGGTACTGCAGGAGAAGTTTTGGTACAAGTTTCCCCTTGTACCAAGTCTCTGAGTTAGATTCTTTAAGGACAACTGTCCATATCCAGACCGCTACTAGGATATCCCTCTAGCAAAAGGGCTAGTGACAACAGGTGGCCCATCACCATGAAATGGATAATTTGCTTTTTCTGGGTTTCTCATGTTTTCTCTGAGCAAATAACCTCCTAAAATGTGCTTCAAGTTACAAGTACTTAAGACTGAAATCCTCTGATTGGAGAAAGTTCACAAGTAAAGTTCTGCCAAAAAAGTGCTTCAACTTTCACTCCCACYGATGTGTAGCCTGAAGTGGCTGAACCTCTGCCATCACTGCTTTGTGTTCTTCAAAGCATTTTTTTAAAAAATTTTTTTGACCCATTCAGTAAGAGTACTTTATCCTGAGTCAGAAACCTGGGGGACAGGAACACCCACTTGTGTATCTCCTTTTGGATTTTGATTCAAATGTGGAAATAACAAAGTAATTCAGAGCCTGTATAAAAGTCTCATAAACATTAGGTTGATATTCAAGAACAGTGGCTAATTCTGCTAGAGTAGTAGGTCATGGGAAAGGGAAGGAAAATCTTTTGTGCTGTTTACTAAGGCCGTCTAAGTAGACTAGTCTGAAGTTTTCTGAATCTCAGGAAGAGGGCTGCAGAACTTTCATAGTCTGAAGTAGTATCTTCATCCTGATTTTTAGCACACAGTAGTTTTAGAAACCAGGGCACTGTGACATTTTGACAACATCTTACCTCCTAAATTTTCAGCTAAATACTTGACTTTCACAGTAATGCTGCAAGAAACATGAAACACTTGAGTTGTAGATCATTGTCTCTGTAGCATTTATTGGTCGTGTGTTTCTGTAAAGATCTTTCTGTTCCCCCTGAAGTCTTAATTGTATAAAACATTATCTTGACACCTGACCACTGAGTTTCTCTGAGTTTATTCTTCCTTCATCCCTACTGTCTTTCAGATAGAGATGGCTAAAGCTGAGCCTGTGTGCTGCTGACCATGTCGGTTGTGTTTTGGTTTTTTTTCCTTTTATTTGTTTGGGCTTTTTTAACACCAGATGAGAAGAGAAACATACAGCAGGAAACAATTCCTCAGGTTTCATGGCAGGGTTAGTTGTAAAAGGTCTTGCTGATTTAGCTTTTGGAGGAAATGCAAGCTAATTGAGATGTGGTGTTCAGAGCAGATCATCTGCTGAGGAGGGCAAGACAAATGGGGAAGTGTCTGTATTTCTGTCCTCCTTTTCCTTTTAAAAAAAGAAGGAAGTTCTGCTTGCACATGACTGTTTGACTCCCGTGCACAAGTTTGTCACTTTTGGTAGCAAATCTGCTCTGTGCACTAGGACAAACACTTTGACAATGAGGAGAAAAGGCGGTATTAATGGTTTACTGAGTTCAGAGCAGAGGTGAGAAGTAGATGATATTTTGCTGTGTGAAAACTCAGGATTCAGGCCCCCTGAGGCTGTGCAGATTAAAAAAGCTGCTAAGAGTTGCAAGTGCCAGGTAGGCTGTGCAGAGTTTGAAAGAAAGTGTTGTGTATGGCTTAGTTCCGCTGTCACCTAGCTGTGGTCCTCTAGACTTGTATCATCAGAGTATCTTCCTAATGTGGTGGTGTTTGCTGTTCTTGCTATGGTTTGCCTTGAGTCTGGCAGCTGTCTGATAAGACTCCTGATTCACATCACTGGTTTCTTGCCAAGGACTCCAAAAGCTTTCATATCCCACCTGTCCTAGGACTCAGACTCTCTTGTCCTTTTTCAGACATTTCTGACTAATTATAACTGTACTTGTGACTGGCTACATGTAACTTTCTCAGCTTTTCTGCTTGAAAACTCTCTATACCTTKCATTTGCCTCTGTTAACTATACAGCTGATAAGAGCTTCAAGGCTGTTTTATAGGTAGTATAGAAAGCAGATACCAGTGAATGCATAACTTAAATTTGCTAGTTCATGGAGATGAATTTAAAAACTCCTACTGCAAATTTTTGGTTACTAACTGAAATCTATTGTTTGCATGCTCCTCTGCTTCCAAGTTACCACCCTGGTGAATTCTTAGACTTCTTAGACTTCTTATTAGCACCTGATCAAATATAAATACTTGGTGTTTGCTGGAGTGCTGTTACATAGCACACTTGTTCTGAGAGTGAACCTGGCACCTCTCCAAAAAATATACTGAGAGTCTGAAGCTCTACTTCCAGCCGCCTTGGTTGCTATTTTATAATTATTGCTCTTAACTTTATCCACCCACAGATGAAACCAGTATGCGGTATAATCTGAAAACTTAAAATAGATCTGCCTGAGCTTCTACAAACTTCTTCCTTTTCTGACTAGATGAGAACTTAGGCCAGCACCAGGTATTGTTTCTTAAAGGAAGCTGGAGGTAAATTCTCAGTTGTGGGAGAGACTGAAGTATGCAGGAAGTCAAACTGCAGTTGGTGAACTTGTGAAGCTATGTCAGTATGGAAGGGCTGATCTCTGTTCTTATCTACAGGGATGCAAAAATGTAGATAGGGGGAAGTTGTCCCAGGGAAATTGAGGCTGGAAGGCACTTCTGCGTATTGGGTCGT